CATCATGCTGGGTTGGCAAGGACTGATCGTCAAATTGTTGAAGAACTCTTGCAGATGGACACGTACAAGTGTTGGTATCAACTGCAACGCTTGCTTGGGGTGTAAACTTGCCTGCTCATACAGTCATTATTAAAGGGACCCAGATTTACAGCCCAGAAAAAGGAGCATGGACTGAGCTAAGTCCTCTAGACGTGATGCAGATGCTGGGACGTGCCGGGAGGCCTCAATATGATTCATATGGGGAAGGCATCATCATCACTGGCCACAGTGAACTTCAGTACTACCTTTCATTGATGAATCAACAGCTTCCTATTGAGAGTCAGTTTGTGTCTAAACTGGCTGATCAGTTGAATGCAGAAATCGTTCTTGGAACTGTTCAGAATGCAAGAGAAGCCTGCAATTGGATTGGATATACATATTTGTATATTCGCATGTTGCGGAATCCTACACTTTATGGATTGCCAGTGGATGTTCTTTCACAGGATTTAACTTTGGAGGAGAGGAGGGCTGATTTGGTAAGCATACATCTTATTAGTAGTCACCATTATTTTTAAAAGGAGCATGCTACTAATTTTTTTAACTCTGCTGTGGTATTCTTCTTTCTCGGCTTCCATGCACATTTGGTTTAGTTGAGCAGCTTGTTACTTTTTCTGCATTTAACTTGACTTTTACTTGGGAGTTTAGACTGACAATCTTTATATTTAATCTGTTTGTTTATAGAATTTCTGCCTATGATTTGTAAAGCCCTCTCTTTGTTGATAGTTGGTTACTGCTGCATTTGGTTTTAGTATTCATGACTCTTGACCTAGAATATGCAAATTGTTTGAACTGGAGAAATTGTTGGCTGATAAATTTGATAATAAAATATGAAAAATAAACAGAAAATATCATACTATATTTTGAATCTTCAAAATTCGTTGTTTCAGTTTACTGTGAAGTATGTTAGCAGTTGTTATTTATTTTCCTTCCATCGTTTTTTTGCAGATCCATTCTGCTGCCGTTATCTTGGACAAGAATAATTTGGTGAAGTATGATAGAAAAAGTGGTTACTTCCAAGTGACTGATTTGGGCCGTATTGCTAGCTATTACTATATAAGTCATGGAACAATCTCCACATATAATGAGCATTTGAAGCCAACCATGGGGGATATAGAGCTCTGCAGGCTGTTTTCACTCAGCGAAGAGTTCAAGTATGTGACAGTCAGACAAGATGAGAAGATGGAGCTGGCTAAGCTTTTGGACCGTGTTCCAATTCCAATAAAGGAAAGCTTGGAGGAGCCTAGTGCAAAAATCAATGTTTTGCTGCAAGCATATATCTCACAGTTAAAGCTTGAAGGGCTTTCATTGACATCTGACATGGTGTACATAACTCAGAGTGCAGGACGTCTTATCCGAGCTCTTTTTGAGATTGTCTTGAAAAGAGGTTGGGCACAGTTGGCTGAGAAGGCTTTGAACTTGTGTAAAATGGTTACCAAGAGGATGTGGAATGTTCAGACACCTTTGCGGCAATTCCATGGCATCCCTAATGAAATTCTTATGAAGTTGGAGAAGAAAGATTTGGCCTGGGATAGATATTATGACCTGTCATCACAGGAAATTGGAGAGCTGATTCGTTTCCCTAAAATGGGAAGAACACTTCACAGGTTCATTCACCAGTTCCCTAAGCTAAACCTTGCGGCCCATGTTCAGCCAATTACACGTACTGTCTTGAGGGTTGAACTTACAATAACTCCAGATTTTCAATGGGAGGATAAGGTTCATGGGTATGTGGAGCCATTTTGGGTGATTATTGAGGATAATGATGGTGAGTATATTCTTCACCATGAGTACTTTTTGCTGAAGAAACAGTATGTTGATGAGGACCACACTTTGAACTTCACAGTGCCTATTTATGAACCATTGCCACCTCAATATTTCATACGTGTTGTCTCAGATAAATGGTTGGGATCACAGACTGTTTTACCCATCTCCTTCAGGCATCTTATTCTACCAGAGAAGTACCCTCCACCAACTGAGCTACTGGATTTACAGCCCCTTCCTGTTACTGCATTGAGGAATCCGTCTTATGAGGCTTTATATAAAGATTTTAAGCATTTTAATCCAGTTCAAACTCAAGTCTTCACTGTTCTGTATAATACTGATGACAATGTTTTAGTGGCCGCACCAACAGGGAGTGGGAAGACCATCTGTGCCGAGTTTGCTATATTAAGGAATCGTCAAAAAGGATCAGACAGTACCATGCGAGTAGTGTATATTGCACCTTTGGAAGCTATTGCTAAGGAGCGATATCGTGATTGGGAGAGGAAATTTGGCAAGGGTCTTGGGATGCGGGTGGTTGAGTTGACTGGGGAACTGGCAATGGACCTGAAGTTGCTTGAGAAAGGTCAAGTGATCATCAGTACTCCTGAGAAATGGGATGCTCTTTCTCGTCGCTGGAAACAGAGGAAGTATGTTCAGCAGGTCAGTCTTTTCATTGTTGATGAGCTTCACTTGATTGGTGGTCAAGGTGGTCCAGTGCTAGAGGTGATTGTCTCTAGGATGAGATACATTGCTAGTCAGGTTGAGAAGAAGATCCGGATTGTGGCTCTTTCAACTTCTCTTGCAAATGCTAAGGACCTCGGAGAATGGATAGGAGCAACTTCTCACGGCCTTTTCAATTTCCCTCCTGGAGTTCGTCCTGTACCACTAGAAATACACATTCAAGGCGTGGATATAGCCAATTTTGAAGCAAGGATGCAAGCAATGACTAAACCCACTTACACTGCCATTGTCCAACATGCCAAGGGGGGGAAGCCAGCTATTGTGTTTGTTCCTACAAGGAAGCATGTTAGACTCACTGCTGTGGACCTAATGAGTTACTCCAAAGTGGATAATGAAGAGGAGCCACCTTTCCGGTTGCGATCTGCTGAAGAACTTAAGCCTTTTGTTGACAAGATTAGCGAAGAAACATTGAGAGCCACTCTAGATCATGGAGTTGGCTACTTGCATGAGGGTTTAAGCAGTTTGGATCAGGAAGTTGTTTCCCAGCTCTTTGAAGCTGGGTGGATTCAGGTCTGTGTTATGAGCAGTGTGTTATGTTGGGGCGTTCCGTTATCAGCACACTTGGTGGTTGTAATGGGTACTCAGTATTATGACGGAAGGGAGAATGCTCACACTGATTACCCAGTTACAGATTTGTTGCAGATGATGGGCCATGCAAGTCGTCCTCTTCTTGATAATTCTGGCAAATGTGTCATACTCTGTCATGCTCCTCGTAAAGAGTATTACAAGAAGTTCTTGTATGAAGCATTCCCCGTTGAAAGCCATTTGCACCATTTTCTACATGACAACTTCAATGCGGAAATTGTTGCGACAGTTATTGAGAACAAGCAAGATGCTGTGGATTATCTTACATGGACTTTCATGTATAGGAGGCTTACTCAAAATCCAAATTACTACAATCTTCAGGGAGTAAGTCACAGGCATCTTTCTGATCACCTTTCGGAGCTTGTTGAGAACACATTAAACAATTTGGAAGCAAGTAAATGTATTACTATAGAGGATGACATGGATCTCTCTCCTTTGAATCTTGGCATGATAGCCTCTTACTATTACATCAGTTACACTACCATTGAGCGATTCAGTTCGTCTTTGACTTCCAAAACAAAGATGAAGGGCCTACTTGAGATTCTGGCCTCGGCTTCTGAGTATGCAAATCTTCCTATACGACCTGGGGAAGAAGAGGTTCTTCGAAGACTAATTAATCACCAGAGGTTTTCCTTCGAAACCCCAGGTTCACTGATCCGCATGTCAAAGCAAATGCTCTGCTTCAAGCCCACTTCTCTAGGCAGCATGTGGGTGGGAACCTGTCACTAGACCAGCGAGAGGTGCTGTTGTATGCTACTAGGCTGCTTCAAGCTATGGTTGATGTTATTTCGAGCAATGGCTGGTTGAGCCTTGCTCTCCTCGCAATGGAGGTGAGCCAAATGGTGACACAAGGTATGTGGGAGCGAGATTCAATGCTTCTACAGCTCCCACACTTCACTAAGGAACTAGCCAAGAGATGCCAAGAAAACCCTGGCAAGAACATAGAGACTATTTTTGATTTGGTGGAGATGGAAGATGATGAGAGGCGTGAGCTGTTACAGATGTCTGATTTGCAGCTGCTGGACATTGCAAAGTTCTGCAATCGTTTCCCCAACATTGATTTATCGTATGAAGTGCTTGACAGCGAGACTGTGAGGGCTAGGGAATATATTACCTTGCAGGTTACACTCGAAAGGGATCTAGAGGGGAAGACAGAGGTTGGACCCGTCGATTCTCCCAGGTACCCGAAAGCAAAGGACGAAGGGTGGTGGTTGGTTGTTGGTGACACCAAGAGTAACCAGCTGCTTGCTATAAAAAGGGTCTCTTCAGAGGAAAGCGAAGGTGAAGCTCGAATTTACCGCTCCCACAGAAGCTGCAGAGAAGACGTACACTTTGTATTTTATGTGTGATTCTTACCTAGGCTGTGACCAGGAGTATAGCTTCAATGTCGATGTCAAGGAAGCTGCCGGCCCTGAAGAAGACAGTGGCTGAGTGTAAGCTCCTCGTATCTTTTTTTTTATGAACCGACTGTTTCACTGTATTGGCATTCTACTTGGCACTTGGATTTTATCATTTTGCACTAGTTCTGATCTCCAATGTATTGCTCATGTATTTTAAGCTCCGTTGTACTACTATCTTTTAGGCTATAAATGGAGCTTTCTTCTATGATATGATTATGCTACGTTATATTATGTGTTAGCATTATTTACATATAATTTATCACAAATGAATGCCAGCAAGTAGTCTGTGGTAGAAATATAAGAAAAACAAGATCCAAGATGGAACATAGTTGTATGAAAGCATGGATAAGATCAAAACATCTATTGATCTTCATGTTTTTTAGTTACACTAATCCCTAGTTGATGCAGCAAGGTACATAAAAGGAGCTTTGACTGTAAATCCGAAAAGAGAAATAGCTTAACATACATATTCATAACAACAATAACCCCATGAACACAGATAAAACAAGGATTTTTTTCATCAATCTTCATAAACCTTGCACTCTTCAATCTCTGGGTTTTCCTGACACAGATTCTAGAGGATCTTTCTTTTCAACTTCAAGTCTGAGCCTAAGATCAGCTTTGGCTTGACTCACCTCTTCAACTTCATCCCAAGCTACTTTGCATTCATCAGATGTGTCATCTCCTTCACATACTTGCTTGGCTTCTGTCACTTTCATCTTAATCATCTCAGTTAACTGTTTCTCCCTCATTTGAGTCCCTTTATGCTTGGCTCCTCCACATCCCATGGCGTTTACAGTCATTCTTCTTGAAACCCATTTTTTGTGACAACGAAATGAAGGCGACAACATGCTTGGATTTGACACAAATGATGATGTTGGGATCTTTCCCCTGGTTCCTGTCAGTGAGTTAAGCCTTACGGTTGCCATAGCTAATACACGATTTATCTGGTATGGTAAGTTGTTTCGAGTTAGGGTTATGATTCTTATGAAGATCGATGGTTTTGATGAATGAGAAAGGAACTAGTTTGGATTTGAGATAAGGTCAAGGCAGGTGAGAAATGGGATTGTCTTTTTGCATTTACCAAAAGATGCTGTTTGGTGTGTGGGTGACAAAGCATTGGTCAATTCTTTAATGGGTGTCATCCAACTCCTTTGCCTGTTGGGTGTTGTTTAAGACCATTCTCAAAACTCTCCTTTTCTATGAGCTCATAAACCAGAAAGAATGATTTGGATGTGAATAAAGCCATACATCTACCTTGAAAGGGGTAAAGTATAATTTTTCTAAAGTCAAGGGCAATTTTATAATTATTCCATAAATATTTAAATTTATATATAAATTAAATGTAAAATTTTTTTGTTGGGTTGTTGGGATGGGGGCACAACCCCTCCCACTGCCTTAGTAAGTTCGTCTTGTTGATGAGCATGTTGTCTATAGATTGTTGATAATGCAACTTTTATACACTTCCATGGCCTCCCCAATCTAGCCAACAACCTTTATATGACTTTAGTGGGATTTAGTGATTCTTGGGAAATCAACGGAGGAATAAGATGTTAAGAAGTGTCCTTAATCCTTCTTAAACTCTAAACCCAACTAGTAACTCAGGTGTTTGATTCTAGTGAGAGAACTTGGAGAAAGTTCCAAAGCCAAAGGAAAGGAAAAGTTTGTTCTTGGTTGAACTTTGAGGCGTTCCAACAACTTAGAATCCAAGGAAATTCACTTCTAACTCAACTCTACCACATGTAGATCACTAGGTGTGTTTTGGTAGGTTGCATGAGTTATGAAGCATGTCCATGGTAGATCTCAACTTTTGATGTTTTTCAGTATGATAATAGACCTATTATGATCCCTTTTAACTTACATAAAACTTGAATAACGTTGGGGGGGGGGCCTCAGTAGGGCTTTTGGGTGTATTGGGGATGTCACTGTCGCGCCTAAACAGAACATTTCTGGGTTTGAGTATCTGTATTGGAAGAACAATATCGATATTGTTCGTCAGATGGGTTAAAACAAGGGAGTTTATGCTAGAAGTATCGCTATTGCTTCACTGGGTACGATTCTCTTAGTAGGAGTATCGATATCGAGTTCACTTAGCAAATTCTAGTAGCCAATTATGGTATCGGTACTAATGAGAGTATCGATATTAGGGGTAGAATATCGATACTCCGAGTAGGGGTATTGATACTGAGTATTTTTCAAAACATCGAAGTAGATTTTGGTACGATACTCATGATAGTATCAATATCCTAGTACATAAGTATCGATACTCGATTCAGGAGTATCGATACTACCCTCCATTCTCAGCTTATAACATCGCTTTATATCGATTCCAAAGGGCGAGTATCGATACTCAAGGGTCAGTACCAAAATTGAAGGGCTCAATATCGGTACCAACGTGCAGTTCTGGATAAAGAATCCAACTAAATAAGGGTTAGACTTGAAGGGCATAATAACTCCAGAATGCCAACAAATAACTCCAGAATGCCAACAAATAAACAAGTGAAAACAATAATTAAATGCAATACAACTAGAAACAATAATAGCTAGGATAACATAAAACCAACCCTGTTTGATGCTCGAGAAATAGTTAAGACACCAGAGTTTCTTTAACAGAATACAATCGTCTAAGTTGGATATATCACAGTCAGTGCCAAACACTTTAGTTGTCGACTGGGCAGATATGCCCCAAGACTTGATGGAGTAAATTGGTCGGTGTATGTTTCCGATGCAGCTCCGAATCTCACCCCAAATACCCGAGGGTATTTCAAGAAGGCTAGAGGGGTGTGCTCTGAGATGTAGATCCATCAGTCACACTATGATGCCTACTTCAACAGTTGATACAACATTTTCTCATGTCTTCATACCTATGCCACTAGCATGCTCATTTAGTGAATGCATGTAGTACAATACAATTATTAGTATGGCATTGTGCTCGTAAACTCAGCGTGCGAAATGTGTTTTCGTGTGCAATTTCTTGATTTGTATTAGAGGGCATGCACTATTTATAGACCCTTTTTATTCGTTTAACTTTATTTTGGATTTGAACTCAATATTAGTATTTTGGATGTTTTGGGAACTCCCTATATTTTGTAAACTCAGATTATTATGTTTTATTTTATATCTTTATAGATGGTTTTAAAATGATGCCTTACAGTTGTTTTAAAAGAAAACTTTTGCGTTACCAACTGTGGTGGTCCCGTGTGACGCTTTAATCCTTCGATATTCGGGTTGGATTGGATTAGGGTGTTATATCCTATCAATTGTGTCTTTGCTCTATGTGACATCTGTAACCCCTAGACCCGACCTAGACGTAGACCCGAATCCAGGCAATCACATGTATACAGAGATCATTTTCAGATTCAAACACACTTAAAATCCATATCAGTAAATAAAATACGAATAATGGTAAAATACAAAAATATATAATGTTATATATATATATATATATATATATATATATATGCATATCACCAAAAGTCCATATGGAAGCATGATCATAACAAAATATTGGTATACAAATATACACAAACGACAACAAAACATGTGTCACCAAAATATAATAGAGATAGCGTAGAGAATATACAGTGGTACAAAAATGGAGAATGATCGAACCTCCTGATGCCAAGTCTGCTAGCCTACTGTCGGGTAATATATGAAAAGTTAAAAATTGAAGAATAAACTAAAAAGCCCAGTATACTCATTGCTGTGTATAAAACATTCAGGTAAATTAAAAATTGTTTTATAACAATGCTCTTTAAACATGAACACTACCCCCATCCAAACACCTGAATGTGTAGGTTCCCCTGAACCATACATCCACTTGTACACCTGGTCTTAGCGTGCAACAAAGAAGAAATGCTTGCGGTAAGGTCTTACAAGCCAGAGACTAGGCCTGAAATACTTCCTCCAATCATACCCCCAATGATAAAATATGCATGAATTCATTAAGTTAATTTAATAAAATAAATCATGCCATTTTCCAGAATCAGATACATAAATATGATAACCAGAAATCATGCCAGAATATACGGTAAATCATATCGAAAGTCAGAGTATACAATAAACATATTTTATGCAGCCATAATATTAAATTTTGAAAACAATTAAGACAGATGATTTAAAACAATATTGTAACACCAATATGAACACACCTGTATCGATCTGAGAAGTCTGGGATAATAGCCTACTCTCGGGCCTACCTATCACAATCGGCGGCAGTACTAGACCCTACGAACCAAAAAAACTATTTCAAAATCCTAACATAAGATAAATAATAAACTTCGATTAAACAATTTACAGAATCCTACGAGACACTCTTATAGAACGTGCAACTTACTGATCTGTCGAACGATACGTACCAGATCTGGTCAACCTTCAGTCAGGTGAATCACGAGTACTTTCACAGAAATATGATCTCAGATTAGTTCCATAATCAGATCTCAAATTAATAAACATAAATGCTAAAAATACTAAGCATTTTCATATTAACAGACTCGATTCGAGGTTTTGGGTCAGAATTTGGTAAAAAGGACTTAGGATGTCAAAAAGCATCAAGAGGGAGGTTTTCGAAAAAAAGTCAACTCTGGTCAACGATCAATGCCGATCAACGATCAAATAGCGGTCAAACGGTGCGATCAGTAGTGCGACGCGGCGCGATGTGATCGGTGGTACAATACATCGTAGCTCGACTCGACTCGACGCGGCTCAGCTTGACTTGGCACGACTGAACTAGTTTAGTTTGGCTCAAAGCTCGGCTCGATCGATTTGGGTTGAGCCAGTTCAGTTGGGTCGGATCTAATTTAGATTTGGGCTAATAGTACAAAGGTTGGGTCAGGTAGGTGGATCTGATTGGGCAAACATGAAAATGGGTCAGGTGAATGGGTTGGATCAAGTTAGCGGGTTGATCAACATGTCGGTTTAATCTGCTTCTTGAAACCTGCCAAGCGGTGGCATTTCCCCACGCGTAATGGTGACATGTAGGGGCGTGCAGGCTTATCTACGATCGAAAAAATACAAAAAAAAAAATTCTAAAAATTATTTAGAATCATTTTAAGGTACTTATCAACCTCAGTTCACACTTGTGAACGGCGAAGAGCTCGATTACGCTTCGCCAAAAACTTGTTATCATTCACCCATCCTCACACCGGTGACGACAGAAACAAAGAGACCACCGTTGGACTCAGGATGACTCAAGGATTCATGGTACGGGCGGTGCTAACAAGGAGCTTTGGTCGGAAGTAAAACGATATTTAAGTATCATTGGGTTATGTTTTCCAAAAATAGAATGTTGAAGAGAGAATATTGATTTTCCATAAATAGAAATTTGTTGATTTTGGGAGGTTTTATACCCATCAAAAGAAAATGGTATAATTATGCCATAATTCCTTGGCTTTTGAAACTTTCTGATTTGGGTATGAATTTAGCTAAAGTTTCATTTTGGTCTTCGAATTTTGCCAAAATTTTAATTTAGTCCTCGAAATAAAAGTAAGAAAATTTTAACCTCGGAATTAGAGTGTGACAACGCACCCCCTTAAAAGAAATTTTGTCCTCAAAATTTACATGGTCTAAACAGATGAGGAAACTGAGTCTTTATTGACTCTAACGTTTCTCAGGTAGCCTTTGTGGAACTGTGGTTGCTCCATTGAACTTTAACCATCAGAATCTGCCTGTTATGAAGAATTCTCTCATCCTAGTCTAAAATCTGAGTAGATTCCTCCTCGTAAGACAAATCTGGTCTCAAGTCCACATCCTCAATCTGAATGACATGACTCGGGTCCGCACGATATCGCCTCATTATAGAAACATGAAAAAAATCATGGATACGTCTAAACTGGGGGTAACTAAAGCTGATAAGTAATAGGTCCGACTCTTTTCAGGATACGCACGACCCAATGAATCTCGGACTCATTTACCCTTACTCCAAATCTTAGTACCTTCTTCCATGGAGACACCTT